TGAATTCGACGCTATCGCCATAACTGAAACCTGGCTTAACTCCTCTGTCTCCGATCACGAAATTCTCGTCCACAAGTTCACCACTTATAGAATGGATCGTCCTTCATTCGCTGGTATCTTTTTGACCTGTTCTTATATCCCACCCAGATCTGATGCCGTTGTTTATTTGAACCACCTTTCTGCAATTCGATCTGTAGTTTCTGCTTTGGGCTGTGCTGATCAGATACTAGTTATGGGGGACTTCAACATCCCATCTCTATCTTGGCAACAGGATGATTCAAACATGTTGCTACCTGGAAGTCAACATGATTTCGTCGAGGGGGTAACTGACGTCTCGCTTGCCCAAATTAACTCTGTCAGAAATAATAGAGATAGACTGTTAGATCTCATCTTTGTCAGCGATGCCTCTCGTACAACGGTTTTAAGAGGCAATCCGATATCTTTTCCCGAAGATCCGCATCATCCTACTTTATCTATATTTTTCGAGGTCTCTATTACTAACACCATTTTACCTTCAAAAAGTCGTATAAAATGTTTTCGCAAAACTAATTTTATCGATCTTTGTCTACATCTCTCGCAAGTTGATTGGTCCTTTCTTCAGTCCGCATCTCATATAGAGCCTACTGTCAATCTGTTTTACGAAACATTATACTATGCCCTCGATACCTACGTCCCTGAAGTCACCGTATTTGTTTCCTCTAAGCCTCCGTGGTTTTCCAAGTATCTGTCTTACCTAAAAAATAAAAAATCTCGGCTCTACAAAAAGTACCAGATAACTGGTTCTTTGTCTGTCTTTGCTCAATATTCTTCGGATCGCTCTCAATTTCTTACGGTCAATAAGAAATGTTATAACGTATATCTTTCCCAATGTGGCAAAAATTTCCGTAGTAATCCAAAAAATTCTTTTCGTTCGTCAACTCAAAACGCAAGTCTAACGCGTTCCCTTCTTCCCTTCAGTTACAGTCTAAAACAAAAACTTCAGATCAAGGAATTGCAAATTTATTTGCCACCTTCTTTCAATCGACGTACTCCTCGGATACTTATGACTCCTCCATGTTAATAATGTGTTTCTTCCCTTCCATGATAAAAGTACAGTCTTCGAAGGGTTGTCATCAATTGACATCTGTTTCTCTGCGGGTCCAGATAAAGTTCCGAGCTGTATTTTAAAATACTGCGCTCAAGCCCTATCTCATCCTTTGACCTTCTTATTTAATTTATCCCTGGAGCATTCTCGCCTCCCCATGATCTGGAATGAATCCTACCTTATTCCTCTTCACAAGAAAGGGTCCTGATCTAATATCGAAAATTATCGTGGTATTGCTAAACTATCTGCCATTCCGAAGTTGCTCGAGCACCTTGTTACTCGTCAATTGCAACACGCATGTTCTAGCATTATATCCCCGACGCAACATGGTTTTTTTAGACATCGATCAACATCTACTAACCTTTTATAATTCTCGTCTCTAATCAACCGAGGATTTCAAAGTGGCTTGCAGACTGACGTCATTTTTACAGATTTCAGTAAGTAATTCAATAACAGTGTTGAGCTAGCGAGCTTTTTCACTAGCGTAGTATTGCTATATGTTTATTAACGAGACGATGGTTGTTTAGATTAAATATGGTTTATTGTTGTAAACAGTATAAAGGCGATACAGAGTCAAAGAGATAGCGAAAGGTTCAAGTTAGATTGATGACGAGTCGGTTGGAGAGTTAGCTGGATTCAAGACGGGGTCAGATTGAAGACGCGGGGGTCGGTACAAGACGGTGTCGGATTGAATAGCTCGATTCCAAGACGATGTGCAGTGGTTGCTAGATCAGACTAATTCAAAGGGCAGGCGGGCCGAATTGCCCGTGCCCTAATGCGAGCGAGAGAGCGACAGATCGAGAGAGTGATAGCGAAAGGCGATAGAAAGAAGAGTGTGAGTTGAAGACGCGAGAGAACGGCGGAATAGGCTGCTGCCGTGCGGGAGCATGAATATGTACATATGTATGTAGATGACAAAGTTAAGCAGTGGGCAGTAGAAACGCTGATCAATAATAGATATTTACTCTACTGATGCACCACTGACTATGATCTACTGATTATTTGGCTGCGTAACCAAACATACTCCCCCCGTTGAAGAGCACGGGTCTTTAACATCCCTTTTCAACAGCATACAGGGTTCAGCAGGCAAAGCTTGTTGTTGATGCCGTTCTTCCTTCCATCGAGACCTGTAGATTCGATGCATGGAAGCAACGTGTTGTCCGGAACCCATTCGGTTGAAGTTGAGCCATGTAATGTGAGGCTCGGCGACAGAAGAAGAGGCGAAGAAGAATAGCGCATTCAAACCAGGCACTGGAAGTGATGTGTCCAGATTAGCATGGCTCTCTGAAATTAAGGCTGAGGGATTAGCAATTTCTGCTCTCCCCCAATAGGGCAATGTGGGGATGGTCTTGGGCCCAGCACAGCTCGAGGTCCAGCGCGATGCCCAGAATTACGTCCGCCAGCAGAGAGCGGGGGCTCGTTCAGATGAACATCGGCCGGAACGGGGCGTTTGCAGGGAATCCACAATGCTTGAAGGTATGTAAGCGAGGTCGTAGCCTGAGCAGGAACCAGATCCGACGCAAATCCACCTGTGTTGATGCAATCGAGGCCGCCATCTAACAGCCGGAACAATAAACAGATGCTTCGATTGGCATTGAATTCTGTCGACCAGTCCAATTGGCTCCAAAATCGCGCACGAATCCACTTGGAATGGGGCCGGTGTGATTTCCTGACCAAACGCAGGATGCGGAGCTACGGAAGTGGACCGCTTAGTGATCTCTGAGAGAATGATCCCAGTGAGCGTTACAAACATCTCTTCAAAGTCATCGGCGAGTTCACTCCCAATCTCGTCGCAGTCCAGCTTCTCGAGTTCACTGTGCACGGTTTTAAAAGTGCCGTGCAGCTCCTCGATTTGCTTCAGCCTGCCAACGAGCATGAAGTGGTCAAATAGGGAAGCGTTCTCCAAGACAACTTCTAGCTGCTTCATCCGTTGAAATAACGCTGGTGCCTTCCGCTTTAGGAAAGCCACACTGTTTCCAGCAGCGGTCACTGCACCGTCGTTCCTCGCACCCATTTCGGCAGCAGGCGCTAGAAAACGTTTCTAGCGGGAAGATGACCGCAAAGAAGAGCGAACGCTTGCAATAAATGCAGCAAGAACCGCAAGCAGATCGCAAAGCAGACGACGCGAGCACCGTTTTTGTTGCTTGTGCACAGCCGACAGGTCGAGAGAGTGATAGCGAAGGGCGATAGAAGATAGAAGAAGAGTGTGCTGTAAAACCGTCACAAAATTATTTTAACAGAAAAATCAAACAACAAAAAATACACCAGATTGAGAGAGACACAGAGAAATATTCGGTTCTTAAAACAAACAAAAATTTATGTCAAATTATAGGGTTGAAGGTTTGGTTTAACTTATTTTGAAATATGCGTGAGATATATGCCCCGTATTCAGATAAAGAGCAAGTTACACTCTAAGATCTACGATCTGTGTTCGTTTTTCATACTAATTGTTCCTTTTTCCCTTCCCACTCTCCGCTTCTCTTCCGTAGAATGAGCCGCCAACATCAGCGGCACCACCAGACGCAGCAGCAGCAGCAGTTGCAGCAACAACAGCAGCAGCAGCAGCTGACGGTGCAACAGCAGCAGCAGCAACAGCTGCTGATGGCCGAACATGCGGCGGCTGCCGAGGCCGCGGAGCTGTTCGATCTGCTCTGCGTGGCCACGACAATGCGCCAGATCCTGGCCCTCCATCGGGCCATGTGCGAGGCGGTGGGTCTGCGGCCGTCGCCCCTCAACGACTACTACCCCAAGCTGAAGGCGAAGGTGCGCTCGTGGAAGGCCGCGGCGCTGTGGAAGAAGTTCGATGCACGGGCCGCCCATCGGGTGTACGGCAAGGGCACCGCCTGCACGGGAATTCGAATTTGAATTTCTTTTGCTTTGTTTACGGGTTTATTTGCGTCCCCTGACCCATCGTCGCCGTCCGCTTCTTCGTCATCTCATTAGCGTGTGTGGCCTTTTGCATTTATCATGAGTGTTTTATTCTCTCAGCTCTGATTCAATTAATTGAAGAATAATGTTCCATGCGAAATCTCTGTTGTCATTCCGAAATCTGAAAGCGAAACAGAAACATATGTGTATGTATATGCATAAATATGTAAATTGTACATATGTACAATGTGCAGCAGAAAGAAAGCAAAACCAAGAAAAAATCAGAGTAATATGATGACAAAGACTAAAGTTGAATGAAAAATCTTTTTGTTTTGTGAGAAAGACATGCAGAGAGCAAAAGGATGTAATTTAAAGAGAGTGAGCGAAAGAGAGATAGAGATCTGACAATAAATGAGTGGGAGGGGGGATTACACATTTCTGAGAATATTTAAAAAGTAAAACGTGCACTTTGCTTACATTCGTAATGAGGAAGTTAAATCCCTAATAAGTGGTCAGATGACGATAATGCTGATGATGGTTCGTTGACTTCCCAGCAGGTCAGAAGCAGGAATACATCAAGGAAGGCTTTGACTATCTTAAACTATAACTACAGTTGATAGCTGAGCGCTGAGCTGGTCCCCATAATTCAATAACAGTGTTGAGCTAGCGAGCTTTTTCACTAGCGTAGTATTGCTATATGTTTATTAACGAGACGATGGTTGTTTAGATTAAATATGGTTTATTGTTGTAAACAGTATAAAGGCGATACAGAGTCAAAGAGATAGCGAAAGGTTCAAGTTAGATTGATGACGAGTCGGTTGGAGAGTTAGCTGGATTCAAGACGGGGTCAGATTGAAGACGCGGGGGTCGGTACAAGACGGTGTCGGATTGAATAGCTCGATTCCAAGACGATGTGCAGTGGTTGCTAGATCAGACTAATTCAAAGGGCAGGCGGGCCGAATTGCCCGTGCCCTAATGCGAGCGAGAGAGCGACAGATCGAGAGAGTGATAGCGAAAGGCGATAGAAAGAAGAGTGTGAGTTGAAGACGCGAGAGAACGGCGGAATAGGCTGCTGCCGTGCGGGAGCATGAATATGTACATATGTATGTAGATGACAAAGTTAAGCAGTGGGCAGTAGAAACGCTGATCAATAATAGATATTTACTCTACTGATGCACCACTGACTATGATCTACTGATTATTTGGCTGCGTAACCAAACATACTCCCCCCGTTGAAGAGCACGGGTCTTTAACATCCCTTTTCAACAGCATACAGGGTTCAGCAGGCAAAGCTTGTTGTTGATGCCGTTCTTCCTTCCATCGAGACCTGTAGATTCGATGCATGGAAGCAACGTGTTGTCCGGAACCCATTCGGTTGAAGTTGAGCCATGTAATGTGAGGCTCGGCGACAGAAGAAGAGGCGAAGAAGAATAGCGCATTCAAACCAGGCACTGGAAGTGATGTGTCCAGATTAGCATGGCTCTCTGAAATTTAGGCTGAGGGATTAGCAATTTCTGCTCTCCCCCAATAGGGCAATGTGGGGATGGTCTTGGGCCCAGCACAGCTCGAGGTCCAGCGCGATGCCCAGAATTACGTCCGCCAGCAGAGAGCGGGGGCTCGTTCAGATGAACATCGGCCGGAACGGGGCGTTTGCAGGGAATCCACAATGCTTGAAGGTATGTAAGCGAGGTCGTAGCCTGAGCAGGAACCAGATCCGACGCAAATCCACCTGTGTCCTGTGGAAGTGGACCGCTTAGTGATCTCTGAGAGAATGATCCCAGTGAGCGTTACAAACATCTCTTCAAAGTCATCGGCGAGTTCACTCCCAATCTCGTCGCAGTCCAGCTTCTCGAGTTCACTGTGCACGGTTTTAAAAGTGCCGTGCAGCTCCTCGATTTGCTTCAGCCTGCCAACGAGCATGAAGTGGTCAAATAGGGAAGCGTTCTCCAAGACAACTTCTAGCTGCTTCATCCGTTGAAATAACGCTGGTGCCTTCCGCTTTAGGAAAGCCACACTGTTTCCAGCAGCGGTCACTGCACCGTCGTTCCTCGCACCCATTTCGGCAGCAGGCGCTAGAAAACGTTTCTAGCGGGAAGATGACCGCAAAGAAGAGCGAACGCTTGCAATAAATGCAGCAAGAACCGCAAGCAGATCGCAAAGCAGACGACGCGAGCACCGTTTTTGTTGCTTGTGCACAGCCGACAGGTCGAGAGAGTGATAGCGAAGGGCGATAGAAAGAAGAGTGTGCTGTAAAACCGTCACAAAATTATTTTAACAGAAAAATCAAACAACAAAAAATACACCAGATTGAGAGAGACACAGAGAAATATTCGGTTCTTAAAACAAACAAAAATTTATGTCAAATTATAGGGTTGAAGGTTTGGTTTAACTTATTTTGAAATATGCGTGAGATATATGCCCCGTATTCAGATAAAGAGCAAGTTACACTCTAAGATCTACGATCTGTGTTCGTTTTTCATACTAATTGTTCCTTTTTCCCTTCCCACTCTCCGCTTCTCTTCCGTAGAATGAGCCGCCAACATCAGCGGCACCACCAGACGCAGCAGCAGCAGCAGTTGCAGCAACAACAGCAGCAGCAGCAGCTGACGGTGCAACAGCAGCAGCAGCAACAGCTGCTGATGGCCGAACATGCGGCGGCTGCCGAGGCCGCGGAGCTGTTCGATCTGCTCTGCGTGGCCACGACAATGCGCCAGATCCTGGCCCTCCATCGGGCCATGTGCGAGGCGGTGGGTCTGCGGCCGTCGCCCCTCAACGACTACTACCCCAAGCTGAAGGCGAAGGTGCGCTCGTGGAAGGCCGCGGCGCTGTGGAAGAAGTTCGATGCACGGGCCGCCCATCGGGTGTACGGCAAGGGCACCGCCTGCACGGGAATTCGAATTTGAATTTCTTTTGCTTTGTTTACGGGTTTATTTGCGTCCCCTGACCCATCGTCGCCGTCCGCTTCTTCGTCATCTCATTAGCGTGTGTGGCCTTTTGCATTTATCATGAGTGTTTTATTCTCTCAGCTCTGATTCAATTAATTGAAGAATAATGTTCCATGCGAAATCTCTGTTGTCATTCCGAAATCTGAAAGCGAAACAGAAACATATGTGTATGTATATGCATAAATATGTAAATTGTACATATGTACAATGTGCAGCAGAAAGAAAGCAAAACCAAGAAAAAATCAGAGTAATATGATGACAAAGACTAAAGTTGAATGAAAAATCTTTTTGTTTTGTGAGAAAGACATGCAGAGAGCAAAAGGATGTAATTTAAAGAGAGTGAGCGAAAGAGAGATAGAGATCTGACAATAAATGAGTGGGAGGGGGGATTACACATTTCTGAGAATATTTAAAAAGTAAAACGTGCACTTTGCTTACATTCGTAATGAGGAAGTTAAATCCCTAATAAGTGGTCAGATGACGATAATGCTGATGATGGTTCGTTGACTTCCCAGCAGGTCAGAAGCAGGAATACATCAAGGAAGGCTTTGACTATCTTAAACTATAACTACAGTTGATAGCTGAGCGCTGAGCTGGTCCCCATAATTCAATAACAGTGTTGAGCTAGCGAGCTTTTTCACTAGCGTAGTATTGCTATATGTTTATTAACGAGACGATGGTTGTTTAGATTAAATATGGTTTATTGTTGTAAACAGTATAAAGGCGATACAGAGTCAAAGAGATAGCGAAAGGTTCAAGTTAGATTGATGACGAGTTGGTTGGAGAGTTAGCTGGATTCAAGACGGGGTCAGATTGAAGACGCGGGGGTCGGTACAAGACGGTGTCGGATTGAATAGCTCGATTCCAAGACGATGTGCAGTGGTTGCTAGATCAGACTAATTCAAAGGGCAGGCGGGCCGAATTGCCCGTGCCCTAATGCGAGCGAGAGAGCGACAGATCGAGAGAGTGATAGCGAAAGGCGATAGAAAGAAGAGTGTGAGTTGAAGACGCGAGAGAACGGCGGAATAGGCTGCTGCCGTGCGGGAGCATGAATATGTACATATGTATGTAGATGACAAAGTTAAGCAGTGGGCAGTAGAAACGCTGATCAATAATAGATATTTACTCTACTGATGCACCACTGACTATGATCTACTGATTATTTGGCTGCGTAACCAAACATACTCCCCCCGTTGAAGAGCACGGGTCTTTAACATCCCTTTTCAACAGCATACAGGGTTCAGCAGGCAAAGCTTGTTGTTGATGCCGTTCTTCCTTCCATCGAGACCTGTAGATTCGATGCATGGAAGCAACGTGTTGTCCGGAACCCATTCGGTTGAAGTTGAGCCATGTAATGTGAGGCTCGGCGACAGAAGAAGAGGCGAAGAAGAATAGCGCATTCAAACCAGGCACTGGAAGTGATGTGTCCAGATTAGCATGGCTCTCTGAAATTAAGGCTGAGGGATTAGCAATTTCTGCTCTCCCCCAATAGGGCAATGTGGGGATGGTCTTGGGCCCAGCACAGCTCGAGGTCCAGCGCGATGCCCAGAATTACGTCCGCCAGCAGAGAGCGGGGGCTCGTTCAGATGAACATCGGCCGGAACGGGGCGTTTGCAGGGAATCCACAATGCTTGAAGGTATGTAAGCGAGGTCGTAGCCTGAGCAGGAACCAGATCCGACGCAAATCCACCTGTGTTGATGCATGGGCCGCCTCTAACAGCCGAACAATAAAAGTCTTGTTGGTTGATTGTCCACCAATTGGCTAACACGATATGGGGGGCGGTGTGACCACGGATGCGGAGCTACGGAAGTGGACCGCTTAGTGATCTCTGAGAGAATGATCCCAGTGAGCGTTACAAACATCTCTTCAAAGTCATCGGCGAGTTCACTCCCAATCTCGTCGCAGTCCAGCTTCTCGAGTTCACTGTGCACGGTTTTAAAAGTGCCGTGCAGCTCCTCGATTTGCTTCAGCCTGCCAACGAGCATGAAGTGGTCAAATAGGGAAGCGTTCTCCAAGACAACTTCTAGCTGCTTCATCCGTTGAAATAACGCTGGTGCCTTCCGCTTTAGGAAAGCCACACTGTTTCCAGCAGCGGTCACTGCACCGTCGTTCCTCGCACCCATTTCGGCAGCAGGCGCTAGAAAACGTTTCTAGCGGGAAGATGACCGCAAAGAAGAGCGAACGCTTGCAATAAATGCAGCAAGAACCGCAAGCAGATCGCAAAGCAGACGACGCGAGCACCGTTTTTGTTGCTTGTGCACAGCCGACAGGTCGAGAGAGTGATAGCGAAGGGCGATAGAAAGAAGAGTGTGCTGTAAAACCGTCACAAAATTATTTTAACAGAAAAATCAAACAACAAAAAATACACCAGATTGAGAGAGACACAGAGAAATATTCGGTTCTTAAAACAAACAAAAATTTATGTCAAATTATAGGGTTGAAGGTTTGGTTTAACTTATTTTGAAATATGCGTGAGATATATGCCCCGTATTCAGATAAAGAGCAAGTTACACTCTAAGATCTACGATCTGTGTTCGTTTTTCATACTAATTGTTCCTTTTTCCCTTCCCACTCTCCGCTTCTCTTCCGTAGAATGAGCCGCCAACATCAGCGGCACCACCAGACGCAGCAGCAGCAGCAGTTGCAGCAACAACAGCAGCAGCAGCAGCTGACGGTGCAACAGCAGCAGCAGCAACAGCTGCTGATGGCCGAACATGCGGCGGCTGCCGAGGCCGCGGAGCTGTTCGATCTGCTCTGCGTGGCCACGACAATGCGCCAGATCCTGGCCCTCCATCGGGCCATGTGCGAGGCGGTGGGTCTGCGGCCGTCGCCCCTCAACGACTACTACCCCAAGCTGAAGGCGAAGGTGCGCTCGTGGAAGGCCGCGGCGCTGTGGAAGAAGTTCGATGCACGGGCCGCCCATCGGGTGTACGGCAAGGGCACCGCCTGCACGGGAATTCGAATTTGAATTTCTTTTGCTTTGTTTACGGGTTTATTTGCGTCCCCTGACCCATCGTCGCCGTCCGCTTCTTCGTCATCTCATTAGCGTGTGTGGCCTTTTGCATTTATCATGAGTGTTTTATTCTCTCAGCTCTGATTCAATTAATTGAAGAATAATGTTCCATGCGAAATCTCTGTTGTCATTCCGAAATCTGAAAGCGAAACAGAAACATATGTGTATGTATATGCATAAATATGTAAATTGTACATATGTACAATGTGCAGCAGAAAGAAAGCAAAACCAAGAAAAAATCAGAGTAATATGATGACAAAGACTAAAGTTGAATGAAAAATCTTTTTGTTTTGTGAGAAAGACATGCAGAGAGCAAAAGGATGTAATTTAAAGAGAGTGAGCGAAAGAGAGATAGAGATCTGACAATAAATGAGTGGGAGGGGGGATTACACATTTCTGAGAATATTTAAAAAGTAAAACGTGCACTTTGCTTACATTCGTAATGAGGAAGTTAAATCCCTAATAGGTGGTCAGATGACGATAATGCTGATGATGGTTCGTTGACTTCCCAGCAGGTCAGAAGCAGGAATACATCAAGGAAGCCTTTGACTATCTTAAACTATAACTACAGTTGATAGCTGAGCGCTGAGCTGGTCCCCATAATTCAATAACAGTGTTGAGCTAGCGAGCTTTTTCACTAGCGTAGTATTGCTATATGTTTATTAACGAGACGATGGTTGTTTAGATTAAATATGGTTTATTGTTGTAAACAGTATAAAGGCGATACAGAGTCAAAGAGATAGCGAAAGGTTCAAGTTAGATTGATGACGAGTTGGTTGGAGAGTTAGCTGGATTCAAGACGGGGTCAGATTGAAGACGCGGGGGTCGGTACAAGACGGTGTCGGATTGAATAGCTCGATTCCAAGACGATGTGCAGTGGTTGCTAGATCAGACTAATTCAAAGGGCAGGCGGGCCGAATTGCCCGTGCCCTAATGCGAGCGAGAGAGCGACAGATCGAGAGAGTGATAGCGAAAGGCGATAGAAAGAAGAGTGTGAGTTGAAGACGCGAGAGAACGGCGGAATAGGCTGCTGCCGTGCGGGAGCATGAATATGTACATATGTATGTAGATGACAAAGTTAAGCAGTGGGCAGTAGAAACGCTGATCAATAATAGATATTTACTCTACTGATGCACCACTGACTATGATCTACTGATTATTTGGCTGCGTAACCAAACATACTCCCCCCGTTGAAGAGCACGGGTCTTTAACATCCCTTTTCAACAGCATACAGGGTTCAGCAGGCAAAGCTTGTTGTTGATGCCGTTCTTCCTTCCATCGAGACCTGTAGATTCGATGCATGGAAGCAACGTGTTGTCCGGAACCCATTCGGTTGAAGTTGAGCCATGTAATGTGAGGCTCGGCGACAGAAGAAGAGGCGAAGAAGAATAGCGCATTCAAACCAGGCACTGGAAGTGATGTGTCCAGATTAGCATGGCTCTCTGAAATTAAGGCTGAGGGATTAGCAATTTCTGCTCTCCCCCAATAGGGCAATGTGGGGATGGTCTTGGGCCCAGCACAGCTCGAGGTCCAGCGCGATGCCCAGAATTACGTCCGCCAGCAGAGAGCGGGGGCTCGTTCAGATGAACATCGGCCGGAACGGGGCGTTTGCAGGGAATCCACAATGCTTGAAGGTATGTAAGCGAGGTCGTAGCCTGAGCAGGAACCAGATCCGACGCAAATCCACCTGTGTTGATGCAATCGAGGCCGCCATCTAACTTCGAATAGGATTCATCGTCCCCTGCTCCACCATGAACAGCCGGAACAATAAACAGATGCTTCGATTGGCATTGAATTCTGTCGACCAGTCCAATTGGCTCCAAAATCGCGCACGAATCCACTTGGAATGGGGCCGGTGTGATTTCCTGACCAAACGCAGGATGCGGAGCTACGGAAGTGGACCGCTTAGTGATCTCTGAGAGAATGATCCCAGTGAGCGTTACAAACATCTCTTCAAAGTCATCGGCGAGTTCACTCCCAATCTCGTCGCAGTCCAGCTTCTCGAGTTCACTGTGCACGGTTTTAAAAGTGCCGTGCAGCTCCTCGATTTGCTTCAGCCTGCCAACGAGCATGAAGTGGTCAAATAGGGAAGCGTTCTCCAAGACAACTTCTAGCTGCTTCATCCGTTGAAATAACGCTGGTGCCTTCCGCTTTAGGAAAGCCACACTGTTTCCAGCAGCGGTCACTGCACCGTCGTTCCTCGCACCCATTTCGGCAGCAGGCGCTAGAAAACGTTTTGCTTCCCGACTGGTACTTGCATACTCGCCTACAACTTGACCTTGATGAATTAAGCATTTGGTGTTCAAAAAACCTATGCACTATGGGTAAAAAAACCGATTTTGGTGCATAAACCTATATATATTTTTAACTAATTTTTAGGAATGTCCCATATTAATCGAATCTAGATATCTTCACTTGCAAAAAACTGCCTTCCAAAATTGTTTTGCCACAGCAACAAAGTCAGCTGTTTGAGAGGTTTTTTAGTGTGGGTAAATTGGCGCGAAAATTTGCAAACTTTGCGCAATTGTTTTGTTGTGCACAAAATAAATTTCATAATTCTAAAAATGGAAATTCCTTGCGAAGGTATTTATTAATGTAAATTAATTTATATGTTTTCATTAATGTGTCTTGTTGTCCAACTGCGAACTGTTTTATATGTGTATCTTAATAGATTTGAACTAACAATTGTGTTTGACTTAGCACAGACTAGCAAAAGAGTAAGAACGAAAAATTAAAGACAAAAGTGTCTTTGTTATCATACATTTAACCATTTTGGTTCCTTTTTGCTCCTTTTCGCAAAAATTTCGTTTATCTAGCAACATATAAGTTTGGCCACGTGGCTCTTCTCGAAGTTTGGGAAAGCAACAACCGCTCGCGAGAAGCTCTTAAGAGTTGCGTATGTTAAAGAATCAACGTCTCTTATATTAGAAGAAAAGGAAACCTTGGACAATCAGATTAAAAACCTGAATATATACATGCATACTGATAAGTCAAACAAAATCTTTGTAAAATTCGATGGGCACCTCACACTCGATGGCAAGGTGTTAAATATATTAACGGGAACGAAATCCTGCCAGTTGTTACGATCCGCCTCTTTGCCGCCCTGAATTATCGCTCCCAGCTAGCTCACGGGGAAGTCAGGGGTGTTTTCGACCCGATAATCAGGGGACGGATTTAACAAAAATTATGTACCGAGACATAAACAAAAAACACAAATCAAACCTTCCTGGTTTCCTCCTCGTTGGCACTCTCTTCAGCGGGGTCAGTAGATGTTCTTGACCATGGCGAGGCCCTCCCTTCCATGAGCGTCCCGTTTTATGTGGTGAGCGCTCCCAAACTTTTCTAGGCTGGTTCTCCTCTCTTCTCTCTCTCTCTCTCGTCCCACCCACCCTCAGGTCTCTACGCCATCGTAATTATTTTCATTTCTCTTTTAAATTCATGTTTTATTATTCTATCTAAATCTATTTATCTCCTATAACATTTTAAACCAATACTGGACTCAACTAACAAAAATTTATGCTAACATAAAAAAAAATACTAACATTCAGGAAAAGACACACGAAACCTATTTCACCCGACTTGGCAGCCCCCTTTTTATCGAAATCCACAAAAACGTAAACAAGCTGAAAAAATTAATGCAATAAATAATCTTAAACTAAAAAGAGCTCTTGTTAGTAAGTTGCATAGATAAATTGGTATGTATGAATCGATCGGGGAGGGGTGTGTCGTTTGGGGGGGAATAGCCTTCGTTCACATTTTGAAACGAACAAAAATTATCTGTTTTATTATATTTTTTTTTCTTTATTCTATTGCAGGTCTATCTTTTTTTTTTTTTTCTTTTGCAGGTAAAGAGTGTCTCCGGAAAATAGAGGTGGATACGTGAATGCACGTTTTGTGTAAAGGGATATATAGGCGTGTGACTGATGAGTGCAAAGTGTTAATTCGGGTTTTTGTGTTAGGGGGTATACGTGCGGGTTCGGTGGAGTGTGGTGGTGTGCGTGATGTGTGTATGACAGGTGTGATGTGTGGATGAGATGGGCTAGTGCGGATCAGGCTGCCGTCTGTCGGTGGGCGGATCCGTGCTGCTCGCAGTCCTCGTCTTGTGGCTCTCCGGTCTGGCCAGTACCGGCGCTGTCACTGTTGTCTGCTCTCCGCCTGGGGTCTGCCGTGTCCACCGCCGCCGTCTCCTCCTTCCTGCCCCGTCGTCGTCAACTTGCTTCAATTTTCGGGACCGTGTTTTGGTTCCGCTGATGACGTTATCTCCTGAAGGTATTGTCGCCGTAGTGATTTTCTTGCCACCGTAACTGTCTTCTTGGATTTGTTTCTAATTTATTTTCTTTTCTTTTTATACCCGTACTCAAAAAAGAGTTAAGGGGTTTATTAGATTTGTGGTAAAAGTGGATGTGTGTAACGCAGAGAAGGAAACGTTTCCGACCCCATAAAGTATATATATTCTTCATCAGCATCAATAGCCGAGTCGATATAGCCACGTCTGTCTGTCTGTCTGTCTGTCTGTCTGTCTGTCTGTCTGTCTGTCGTCTGTCTGTCCGTCTGTCTGTCTGTCCGTCTTGTTGAGCGCCTAGATCTCAGAGACTATAAGAGCTAGGGCAACCAAATTTGGTTTCCAGACTCATGTGATATCACACTGCTACAAGTGTATTTCAAAATTTCGCCCCGCCCCCTTCCGCCCACACAAAGGACGAAAATCTGTGGCAGGCACAGTTTTCAAGATACGATAAAACTAAAAACGCAGTATCGTAGAGAATGACCATATCTACCAGACTGCCGAATCAGATCGGATCATAATTATAGCCAGAATGAAGAAATTAATTTTCAGTTGCTTCCCCTGCAGGGGGCAGGCTTCCAACGACAACGCAACTCATTTTCCTTCTCGCTCGCACACTCTGCCGGGTTCAGTGCGCGAGCAACCCCTAGCGTAGGAGATGTAGAATCTAAATGGAACATGTACATTGTACAATCTACATGTTAGATGTAGAATATACATTGTAGATGTAGATGTAGATATCAGATTTAGGAAAAAAATTTAAAATGTAAAATTTTTTTTTTAATTCTAAATTTTTAAAAAATTATATGCTCAAAAATGTATATACTGACTGAGTACGGGTATAAGTAGCGACTCGCACGTTCCTTCTCGTTTTTTCTAGGCACATGTGACCCGCTTGGATCTCTCCCGGAAACTGCCCTTCCTCAATCCTAACCTTCTTGGTCACGTTTTCTTTCCTCCCACGCATCCCTGTTCCTAACTCTCAGGATCCACACCAGATGCCGCTGTCATTCCTGCTCTCCAACCCTTGCAATTATCGGCCCAATCAAAAGCCGACTATAACACCACTCTAACTTTTCCAGGTCTTGCCGTCGAAAAGGTAGTGCAAAACCACGGCGGCTTCCGGATTGATAAGCCCAACGTAGGCCATCGCCCACACCCTGAGATCGCTCATGCTCTACCGACCTATATGACCGGGCTACTGCTTGAGATCTTTAGCATGGAACACTCCTATCCGTGCCCCTTGCAGTGTCTCCAGTTCATATAAGCTGTTTCCTAAGCTCCGGACCACTCTGCACTTTACATACTTCCGACTAAACTTGGCATTGATGTTGTTTTTGAAATTGCTTAATACGAAGTTCCGCTTATACACTTCCTGTCCTGGTAAGTACCGGATCTCTCTCGCCTTTCGATCATACTGCTCCTTCGATCTCTTGTAGGCCTCATGCGCATTCTTCCGGACCTCATCGCGGACGATCTCCTGCTGGTCTTGTCTTGCCACGAGTGATACTTGCGCGTCGTTCAGGGCTCCCAGTCTCCGTGCTAATTTGTAGTCCCGCCCGCTGGTGAACATGTGCTGCCCGAACAGCACGAAGTATGGTGACGTGCCTATGGCTGTGTGTATCGCACTCCTGGCCGCCCCCTGTATCTCCGGCAACTTCTCATCCCAGCGTGTGTGATCTTCGCTGACATAAGTCCGGATCGCTGCGAGAACGGTCTGATTCACGCGTTCTGCCGCGTTCGCCTGTGGTGCATAATTCCCAGATTTCATGTGAGCTATACTTCTTTTGGTCAAGAAATGTGCAAATTCGGCTGATACAAACTGCTTTCCGTTGTCCGTGTGTACCATTTCAGGAACGCCAAACTGTGCGAAGACCTCTTCATGCAGGAATTGGACTACGGCCGCCGATGTGGCTTTGGGCAAGGCCTTCAGCCAAACAAATCGAGACATGTGATCAAGGACTATCAAGATGACTACATTCCCCCTCCGGGTTCTAGGATATGGACCCAGAAAGTCGAGGTATATCTTCTGCATCGGCCTTTCGGTTACGGTCTCGGCACCCATCATTGGACGACTAACTTGTGTCGAATGTTTCGTCTCCTTGCAGGTATCGCAATCCGCGACATATGCCTTCACCTGTACCGTCATACGGGGCCAATAGTACCATTGCCGCAGTCGCCCCAATGTTCTCGCAACCCCTCCGTGCATTGCCACATCGCTGTCGTGTGCTTGCTGGATCAATGATCTTGTCAGCGCCTCAGGGATCCATAGCTTCCACTGGAACTCCTCCAATTCCGGTCGGGCAAATTGCGTACGCCTAAACAGCAATCCATCCTCCACCTTCAGGTCTGGAAACATTTCTTCATCGCTCTTAACCGCCTCTATCCTTTTCAGGTAATCCTCGTCCTCGAAGGCTGTAGTCTCGAACTCTAGGAAGTCGATTGCTTCTAAGTCAAACGGACGAGACAGCATGTCGGCGACGATGTTGTCCTTTCCCTTCCGATGCTCTATCTCGAAGTTGTATGCCTGTAGAGCTAGAGACCATCTCGCTAGCCTACCATCCAGCGCTTTGAAACGCATCAGCCACCGCAGGCTTGCGTGATCAGTGATCACAGTGAATGGCATCAGCTCTACGTACGCCCGGAACTTCTCTATAGCTCTCACTGCCGCTAGACACTCCTTCTCTGGCACACTATAGTTTAGTTGAGCGCCTCTCAGCTTCGCCGAAAAGAAAGCAATGGGGTGTTCGGCTTCCTCCTCATCCTTCTGGAAAAGAACCGCACCGATTCCCACCTGACTTGCATAACACTGGATGAAGAAGTGCTTCTTAAAGTCCGGATGATGCAATACCGGTGCGCTGGTAAGTGCCTTTTTTAGCTCCTCAAAAGAGTCTCGTGCGTCCGTTGTTAGCTGAAATTGTCCTTTTCCTTTCAGGCAGTCTGTGAGAGGGGCTGAAAGTGCCGAAAAATTACGGATGAATCGCCGATACCAGCCCCTCGTACCCAAAAATCTCCTGACTTGCCTCACGTTGCCTCTCCTCAGTGCGCCATCGCCCACGATGTACCCCAGGTATTTCAGGTACTTGTAGCAGAACTTTGACTTTTTCTTCCCTATTGTCAGGTTTGCCGTCTCCAGGCACTTTGCGACTTCCTCTAGTAGCTTCACGTGCTCCTCAAACGTTCGGGAAATCACCAACAGGTCGTCCAAATACACAAACACGTGGCTTCGGAGTCGCTGCGGGATAACCCGGTCAACCGACACAACCGCTGGGCTGCGTTACACAAACCGAACGGCATTGACTTAAACTGATAGAGTGGTCTCCCTGGAACCGTAAACGCCGTATACGTCCTACTCTCCGGCTCCAGCTCTATCTGCCAAAACGCGTGCTTCAGGTCGATGCTACTAATGAACACGGTGTCCTCCACACGACTCAGGATCGACTCGATACTCTGAAGCGGGTACGCATCTTTGACGGTCAGAGTATTCAGCTTCCGTGCATCCAAACACAACCGGTTCTTCCCCGGCTTACGGACCAGAGTCACCCGATTGCTCCACGGGCTTTCGCTCAGCTCGATTACTCCAAGACGCAACATTTCGTCGACTTCGGCAAACAACAGCTCCTGTACCGCCGGAGATACTGGGTAAAAGCGTTCCTTCACAGGCACGGCTCCCTCCACCAGACGTATCTCGTGTTTTACCATCGTCGTCCTTCCCAATCCGTGCTTGTCAAAACACCGAAATTTGTCCTTCACCTGTTCCATGCGTATTTGCTGCGACTGGGTTAAGTCATGAGGTTCCGTCGGTCTACTTCTCGTCAGCAGTTCTGCCTCGATCTCTTCTAATTCCTCTTCTCGTTCCAGGCCTACTATCTGCGGAGCCAATCCAAACTTTCGCCAGAAATCGACCCCCAGATACAGTGATTGCTTCAATGACGGACACAAGAATAACTCCATCGGGTGTTTCTGGCCTTTGTATGCCATCACTACCATCACACGGCCTAGGATCTGATGAGGTGTGCCGCCCGCAGTTTGTACCGATATTGTTTTCGCGTCTTTTAACTTAAGCTTCAGTTCCTCAATGATCTCTAATCCCCCTCTTCCCAGCAGGCTCACTGATGCCCCCGTATCGAGCAGTCCCATCAGCGTCTTCGGGCCCAGACTCACGTGCGCAAACGGCCTGTCGTCCCGGCTTACTGCAGAACGGATTGCTGCACATATGCCACGTCGTTTCCTCTGGCGTATCCGGAATCGGTCCCGAGCCCTCTGTACTCTAGCCGACCTCGTTAGGCTTATTTCCGCCACATGGTCCCCCAGTATTCTTCTCCTGGCCTGGTTATATCGCTGTCGTCTTTCCTGTAACGGCTTACGCTCGGACCATCTTGCCTCAGGTAGCACTGCCTGGTTCACCTTAAAGATTGTACTATATATGTTTTTATCCTTAGTACTAGATATGTCCCCAATAGGTGACTGTAAGTTAATGTTGGAGGATGGAATTACTGGTTGTTTATGGCCTTGGAACCCGACTCCTCCTGCGTCGCGCTCCTTTTCGCATTTCCCGGCCGACATTTCGGGCATTTGGGCAGGATTATCCCGGCCAGCCCACACTTATAGCAGAAAATGTTCCGCACGTCTGACTCGCACTCAAAATATGTGTGCCCCAGCTGAGCGCAATTCCAGCACTTCAGCTGCGTGCGGTTGCCCCCGGACTCCTTCGTCCTATAGACTGCATCCAGCGTCTCTGCCGGTTCATCTGGGTCGTGATTATTTACCTCCAGTTCATACACCTTGTGGTCTTCTCTACGCCTGTTCGTCCCCTGATCTGGACCGCTTCTCGCCCATCGCGTCGACAGCAGCTTCTCGGTGTCTGCACATTCTTCCCTTAGCTTCTGCATGTTGGTTATCTGCATCGGGTAAATGACTCGCGACACTGCGTCTCTGACATTAACCTTGATAATCTTTATTAGGTCGTGATCTGAGAAGGGATTCAGCAGCCTGGACCTCAACACTAGCATCTCCTGAATATATAGATCCGTCGACTCTCCGTGTCGTTGTCGTCGTTCCCTGAGCTCTTGCTCCCGCTCGAATTCTGTTCGCCGCAATTGAAATCGCTGTTGTAGTCCATATCGCAGGTTCGGCCAATCCGGAACTCCTACCGTCCTAACGTGCATCCAGTACCAATCCCTCGCATGGCCGGTTACCAATGTGTGGAAGGCTTTCAGAACATCCGACCATGTTACCTGATATACTGACTGTAAATGCTCTACCCGGAAGATAAACTCCGCCACGGGCATCCCCTTTGGATCGCCATCGAAGCTGAGTCCCCATCGACGAATCTGCACTTGCTCCAGCTTAGCCTCCCCGTTGCTTGGACGATTCCGGTTAGGGTTTGTTCCTGCACCCCTTGTGTTTGCCAACCAATCATCTACCGGTCTCTGTTCCGCATGGGACCTCTGCTCGGACTCTAACGTGCGGTTGTCTACGAAGAGGTGTGTTGGCTGTGCTTGCTGGTACGAAGGCGCTTGCGGTTCCCCTCTTCCTGGACTGGCTGCGTTCGATCCCCGATTCCTTTCGTCCACATCACTCGGCGTTCGTTCCGCTTTTAGCGAGCCTACTACGGCGTTGATTCCTCGCATGAACTCTAGCATATCGGCTTGCATCGATGACCTTAGCGCCTCCATTTGCTGCCCAAACGAAGCTCTGTACGTCTCCTGGGCTTGGACTAATGCCACATTTATCGCCGATCTTATTTCCGGGGATATCTCTTGGTCCTTATGGGTTCCCTGACCTCCTATTGCCCCGGCTTCGGCGTCTCCTAGGTATAACAACTCGTGTTCGTTGTCCGTCCCTTGAGTCACCCCTTCCGGCCTCCCGACGGTTTTCCCGTCCTGGGACCGCGTCGTCGGCATTCTGTAGGGCTGGTATCGGCGTTGTGCCTCCGGACTATGCCTTGTTTTTCCCGACCCTTTGAAAATTTCCGAGTCACTCATCAACAACTATTCCACTAGAAAAAAACTAATTTGATCGATCAAACATAAACACGTCCAAAGACCACGAGAAAATAAATAAATAAATAAATAGTGTAATAAATAAATACGCGACTAACTAAATAAATGCCTAAGTAAATAGAAAAAATTAATTTAAATAAATAAATTAATCATCTAAATAAATAAATAAACTCCCTCTCTCCCAAAAAACTACTATTCTGATGACCTTCCTATTACCTACTTCTAAAATTGTCTCTTAACAATCCTAGCGAGGATCTTCAGTCCCCAAAAATATGAGTTTCCAGAACAATCAGCAAACAAACACAAAATTCTTTACTCCAAACAATTATTTATTGGGTGAGACGAGAGACCACTGCAACGTATCGTTGCTGCAGGTGAGCGAACCATGCCTTTTCCCTCGCTATTAATTTCCGCTTCTTTTTCTCTTCGGAGTGCCAACTCCTCTTGCTGTTTCTTCTTAGGCCAAGTGGGCTTCCTTGGTCGGACAACAATGCTGATGCCCTCCCGGCATCGCACGGACCACAACTGGACAGACCCACGATGTCTCATCCTTTCTTCAGACACTATCCGTGAATTCCTCGAGTCGGACAACGTTGGAGTGCCCACTTGGCACCGCACGGACCACAGCTCGCGAAATCCACTCGTCTGTGGCATCTACGAGTCGGGCAGCAGGGCTGACTACCTCTTGGCAATCCCTGGACCACAACTCGGGACCCACACTTCTATCTTTACTCTCCTACTCCCCTCAACGGCTGCGATGGCTCGGGTCTGTTCCCGGCTCACGGACCAGTTGAGGTTCCTTTCTATAGGCTCAGTTTTAAACCAGGTATTTTAGGTATACCCCGTTTAAAACCGATCCCTTCATTTAAATTGGGCGCCGTTAGGATCCGCCTTTTGCCGCCCTGAATTATCGCTCCCAGCTAGCTTAGGGGAAGTCAGGGGTGTTTCCGGAGCGATAATTCAGGGCGGCAAAAAGGCGGATCCTAACAACGTAAATAACTAAGTGAATGAAAAGTATGTGACGCCCAGCCCAGCAGCACCAAGCGTCACAATAACAGCAGCATATTCCTCATTATCATTTCATTACAGTTAACATTTATAAACATTTACCTAGATACATAAGAGAAAAATCCATGAACATATATAAACATATAAACATTTACCTAGATACATAAGAGAAAAAATCCATGAAGATTTAGTTAATTAAACATAAAGCAAAACAAAAAAAGGATCTCACGACTTTTAAATCTACGCGCCAACAATGGGAGCAGCGATCCTAACAAACGGCCACACTCCAACATTCAAATCCGCGCGCCAACAGTGTGACCAGCGATCATCACAAACGGCCACACTCCAACATTCAAATCCACGCGCCAACAGTGTGCCCAGCCCTCAGAACCAAACGGCCACACTAGCAGCTGATCGTGACAACGCGCTAGTGCCAAAGAAGGTAGCCAACAGCTGACTTTTGGCAATAAAAGCAGCCACGCCAGAGCCATCAGCACCATTCCATTCTTGGACTGCCAAGGGTTGATTCGCTCCCCAAGGCTTTTGGTAAGCATTGATTGCTGTGCTTCTCAGAGCGCACGATTCCTCTAGAACCCAACTCTCCCTGCTATATACCGTCCATTCATTTGGAATGCATTGATCACCGTGTTAGAGCGTACGATTCCACTAGCTGGTAATCTTTGCTGTTTTTTTCGGATTCCTCGTCAGAGTGCATTGTCCTCCGGCTTTCCCCTCCCTACTCAGAGCGCATTTTCCTCTGTCTCGCCAAACTTCTCCTCGGAGCGCAATGTCCTCCGCAACTCTTTCTTCCTCGAAGCGCATTATCCTCCGCAACGAACACGTCTCTCGGAGCGCATTATCCTCCGCAACTCTTACTCTCGGAGCGCATTATACTCCGCAACGAACACGTCTCTCGGAGCGCATTATCCTCCGCAACTCTTCTCTCTCGGAGCGCATTATCCTCCGCAACTCCGCTCCCTCGGAGCGCACTATCCTCCACGGCCGATCCTCACCAGGTCCGACCTGCACGCTGCGAGTAGCCACGTGCGGCCCTGACGACCCTGAAGGAAGACCTCGAGACCGAGCCAGTGATCCTCCAGAGAACCATATTCGACTCTGTATCCTTAAGTCAATAAAAATAACTATCTACTTTTGTCCTCTCACTTGTGTCGCCTTATTCTTGAACCAGGAGACCTTCTCTTTCAGCTACCACATCCAGAGATCAAATAAATTTCTGTGAACCCCGGCGCGGCGAGCATACCCCGGCCGAAGTGCCGTCACAAGTACTGAATAAACGAAGAACAAACAAAACAAAACTCTCGCGTCATCATTTCTCCCTTGCCTACTGCATTTCGAGCCAGCCCGACTCCTGAAGTCACCTGCGATCTACAAATTTTTTTGTAGCGGACCCTGGACAGACTGAAGCATACCTCAGCCTGTGATGTCCATTAGAGGTCTGCATGATTATATTCATTTCCTATAGGCCAGTACTGTACAGTAGTGTGCTGTACTCAAAAATACTATACTCATTTCATGCTGTACAGTATATTCATTTCCTACTTGGCAGTACTGTACAGTAGTATACTGTACTCAAAAATACTGCACTCATTTCTTGTTGTACAGTATATTCTATATCCCAGAAAAAATGTACAACACTAAAAGTGAAGTGAGTGAAAATGACAGTTATACTCTCTTAGTTTTGTATCGTTCTAACACTTTGTGTGCAGTAGTAGTTTGCGAAAAAGTTGACATGGCTTGTAAAGAAAACGACGCAGATGCTATGAATTCACAAGAAAATGTAAGTTTTTGTTAAAGTAGATTTGTATATTGCTTATTGATGTTAATTTATTGCTTAATCTATTAAAGAACTGTGTTTGGTCATATGTTTGTGGCTGTCCTTTTGTAAGTAAATGCTAATGTAGAGGCGGAAAAATAGCAATCGAAAAGTAGATTTTGTATGTGTATAAATGCGAGTTTTCTTCACGTTGGTATTCAGGTATAATTGTGTTAACTCAGAATTCATCCTTGGAGAGCTTAAATGATGACAAAAATTTTAAGCAATGTATTTATATTTATTGTATATTGTTTTTCTCGCATATGACATATCTGATTTTTTCTTTTACTTCCTGTTTTCACTCACTGTACACTACTGTACTGTACTGTACACTAATTTTACTGTACCCATTAACTACTGTACAACTAGGGAGTGAGTGAGAACACTAACTGTTAATACAGGGACTATGACAGCATTCACTCACACTCCTTTGACGCTGTACAGTCAAAAACGTCTACCCGTTTTCAGAATGAATGATTCATTTGCCCTTTTGGATACATTCATGCATATGTATAATGTCCATATGTACACTGATGATGTGCAAATGTATGTGAGTCGCCCTCTTAGTCAAATAAGTTAATATATTAGACTAAGCAATTATGAACTGTCCTGTGTGTCTAAGTGGGCCAGTAATAATGGTTTATGTCTAAATCGGTATAAGTCTAAATGTATAGTCATGTACAAAAAGTACCTGAACACGGACAATTTAAGTAAACTTTTAATTGACAATGCAGAAATCAGTTATGTATATAAGGCAGATAGCTTAGGCACTACAATTAATAACACTCTATCCTAGAGAGACCATACAAACAAATCTGTAGGAAAGACGTACGGTATCCTACGCCAACTGTATTTGGCACAACTATTTTTGCCAATCAACATTAGAATGACGGTTGCAAAAGCATTAATTATTCCAGTCCTAATGTATGGTATAGAAATTGTTTGTAACTGTAGACCAGTAGATGTGAAGAAGTGTAGATGAAAGTAGCCCTTACCAGCATAGCTAGATTCGTGTTTTTACTAGGTCGTACAAATCACGTTACTAGTTTTGCTAATAGAATATTTATGGACTTGGACATAAATAACTGGACGAATTATAAAATTGTAATACAGCTTCACAAAATAATTTTCACTAAGACTCCAGATTACCTGTTTGAGAAGTTGCATTTCAATCTGTCGTGGAGGACCAATAAAAGCTTTCTTTAGAACCAAACGGTCTGGTTCGAATAGATACTACTTTTTCTGGGCTGTCCGACTTTGGAATTAGTTACCACCTTGTTTGAAAACAATTAGTAGCGCACCACTGTTTAAAAATAAATGAAAAAGTTATTTAAAAAATCAAAATATTACTATCTGAAGTTCAATAGACATACAAAACTTTAAATTTATGTATAAGAATAATGTTTTAAATTATTTGCTTTTTAATGTGACTTGCTTAGCATTTTAAATTATAATTTTATAGATTCTTACAGTTAAGTTTAACTGTTTAACATGTAAAACCCGATTGTGACTAGTGTATTAATTTAAAAGTGTATAACATGTAGCACTAGGAATATTTAAAATAAATTACATACATTTCAGAGAGCGTTGCATGCAAGATCAGAAGCTTTTATCTTAAAAGCTTAACTCGAATTTTACACGTGAGAGCGCAGCTGACTTGCAAAGCTTTTATCTTTAGCTCATTACGGTTAGCCCTTCTAGAACCTTCTTCGCTTTTATCTAGGCTACACAGCTTTTAAGGGTACAGCAATTACTGCTAAGTGCATGCTGCACAGAGGAAATTTTATTTGCAAAGGTGAAAGACGTACATACATATGTGCATTAGGCTCGGCAAATTTTTAGTTTAATGTTTGGGGGCTGCTACAGCGAAAAGAAAATACACTTTTTTGGTTAAATATATATTTAAAACAAAAAGGAACGTGCGAGTCGCTTCTGGGGATGCGACTCTATTATTCTCGTACTCAATCAGTATATACATTTTTGAGCATATGATTTTTTAGAATTTTAGAATTAAAAAAAAATTGTACATCTTACATTTTTTTGCTACATCTGCTATCTATATCTACATCTACAATGTATATTCTACAT